CCCCCAGCCACAGGGCGCCTCTATGCCCCCAAATGGTCGGTTTTCACCGCTTGGTGTACAAACCGCGGTGAAGATCCATCCACATGTGACATATCTTCGATATTGTCCTACCTTCAAGTGCTGTTGGATAAGGGTTGCTGAAACCTCATTGTTCGATTTTTGAAAGGGTCTAGGAGGTTGAACCCCACTCGCCCTTCTACGGTCCCTACGTGGGATCTGTCTACGGTTCTGAGACGCTCAAAGGCCCCCCCTTTGAACCGCTGCAATCCGCTGATATTCGACCCCTGTCGCTAAAGACCGCTCTGCTATTGGCTTTGGCATCGGTTAAGCGCCATTCCCCTGAGACGGGACCTCCTCTCTCAGGCGAACATGACGATATGGCACCCCCAACCCAAGTTGTGGGCCCTACACTTATGGCCTCTCGATGGGAGCCTATGAACCTCCCAGAGGGTGTCTTAAATACCATTTCTCAGGCTAGAGCCCCATCCACAAGGCGCCTCTATGCCCCCAAATGGTCGGTCTTCACCGCTTGGTGTACAAACCGCGGTGAAGATCCATCCACATGTGACATATCTTCGATATTGTCATACCTTCAAGTGCTGTTGGATAAGGGTTGCTGAAACCTCATTGTTCGATTTTTGAAAGGGTCTAGGAGGTTGAACCCCATTCGCCCTTCTACGGTCCCTACGTGGGATCTGTCTACGGTTCTGAGACGCTCAAAGGCCCCCCCTTTGAACCGCTGCAATCCGCTGATATTCGACCCCTGTCGCTAAAGACTATCGAAAGGGAACGTACTCGGTTACTAACGTAACCTCGGTTCCCTGAGATACGGGAACGAGTACTGCGTAGCTAGCCGTGCTATGATGCTGCACGACTCTGTCGTCGCTTCAGTCGATATGAATCAGTGATCCTATGCCGAGCACCTGCTTATATAGCCAGATGCCCCGCCCATTTTGGTGGGCTCGGGCGCGCTGCTTCGCCATAGGCTCGCGCAGCTCTGCTGCGCCGTCATTGGTTCATTTCTGAAACAATGGCGGTGCAGATGCACTGCTGTGAATGAAAAAAAAAAAGGCTTCAGTAAATCGGAGAAAAGGAGTTTCCCGTAGCGTCTAGCGACGCAGTACTCGTTCCCGTATCTCAGGGAACCGAGGTTACGTTAGTAACCGAGTACGATATTCATACAACAAATATTCTGGGGGGTATGAAAATTTTGTGAAAATGATCAAAAATGCTGGCGATTAAAAAAAAATGCTGGCGTGGAAAGAGTTAAGAACTCAGACATTATACACTGCAAAACATTCACAACATTTTCCTTAGTGACATACAACAAAAGCATTTAAACACTTCAAGGTGACTCCATCAAGTAAAGACAAGAAAGAACAAAACAGAAATGCTGATATTTTAGATAAATTGTACCATTTGATTGTATATTCTCAAGTGTCTGAAAAGAAAAGCAGTATTTTGGTAATCATAGCGTGGAAACTTTAACTTTAATTCTGTTCAATTATTGAATAATTCATTCAATAAACAGTGAAAATGTGCCTCAGAAACAAGCTTTTTACGTGCAATTTTTATGCAACTCCCCCAGTAACACCAAAAGACTAGTTAAGCTGTTTTCCTTCAGCAGGGATGATATTATCATGGTACTTTCCCCCTAGTTTAATAAGTTAAATATAAAAAAAATACTTACAGACAGTATTTCAGGGATCTATATAAAGTCTGTATGTGATTCTGCTGTAATGGGATCTGTGGATTTTACTAACAGCTGTGGCGGAGAATGGCGTTTTTCTTTAAAAGACTGGTAATGGAAATATTATAAGGCATATGGAAATGTTTCTGATTATTTTGTTAATATTTAAGTCCTATTTTATGCTTTCAAAATAAGCAGCCGATGTTGTGAAGAGTCCATAATCCATAATAACGCTTCCTCCAGTGAAAAAGTGCATCTGCTGTTGTCTCTCACATCAAAATCCAGCCACATATTTGTTTAGAGCTGTTTAAACGCTGCTTGATCTGTGCAGATTTCTCTCCTGATTCACACCAGAACACTTTTTCACTGGAGAAAGCGTTATTATGGATTATGGACTCGTATTTTAGCTACAAACATCTTAATGCTGGATTTGTTTCAGCTTTTGTCTTCTCCAGATGTTAACTGATGGACTGGAGTGCTGTGGATTACTTGTGGATTATTGTGATGTTTTTATCAGCTGTTTGGACTCTCATTCTGACGGCACCCATTCACTGCAGAGCATCCATTGCTGAGACACTGATGCAATGCTGCATTTCTCCAAACCTGATGAAGAAACAAACTCATCCTGATCTTGGATGGTCTGAGGGTTAGTACATTTTCAGCACATTTCATTTTTGGGTGAACTGTTCCTTTAAGTGCGATAAAATTAGTTTGAAATACAGCTAACCATTAAAGACTTACTCTTCAGTGCAAGTGGTGATAAAGCTTGATATGTGTGTTCATCCAGTCTCACACACACACACACACACACACACACACACTCACTCACTCACACACACACACACACACACACGCCAGCTTCACCAACACACACACACACACACACACGCCAGCTTCACCAACACACACACACACACACACTCACTCACTCACACACATTCATCTGTTCGTGGTGTTTCTGTCTTCACTTCAGCAGCAGCTACAGGTTAAAGTGCAGCTCGTGTCAGAGGATCATCTCAGCCAAATCTGCAGGTACATCGCAATATAACTATATACTATATTATTACTTTAAATATAAAAAATTGTATATTATAACCAAATACATGACTTGTGCTAAAAAGTAGCAAATTAGGTATATTGAAGAAGAGAGATTGAAGAAAGAAATCTTCTTCAAAAACTGTAAAGGGATACAGTTTTTTTTTACATTAAACAAAAACCTGTTTAGGACAGTAACGACTGAAACTTCCGTGCAACATGGAAGAGAACATGTGCAAACTCAATTAACTATTTCATAAATACTGCCAATAGATGTTTTTTTTTTTTTTTTGCATGTGGATATGGTGCATGTTCAATCAAACTGACAAAGATGTTGAAGCTCGTGTTGGGAGATTATCATAAACTATAATCTGTCCATCAGTACAGTTACACAATGTTCTTACAGGAGTCACCAGCCGCTTTCAAGCTCTGTTCTGATTTAAAATAGAGCACACCTACAGAGATGAAGGCATTTCAAAGCCACAATCTGATGCTTTTATTGTGCTGCCCTTCGACATTTCAGTCAGAGACCATTTAACCCTTTCAATTCATACGTGTCTCCATTTGTGCCAAATAAGCTGTAAAATGTTTAATATGTGCTGGGTTAACTGAAGAATATAGTCAAATTAAATAATATTTTTATGGTTATGGTATGGTTGCAAATGAAAATATATGGAAGCCCATTTCCACCAGATAAGACAAAATCATGCTATCATAATTATGACACAAAAAGTCAAAATTATGACACACTAAGTCATAATTATGAGATAGAAAGTCAAAATTGACAAGTCAATTATGAGATAAAAAGAAAATTATTACATAACACATAATAATTATGTCATACTAAGTCAATTATGACATAAAAAGTAAATGATGATAACCATGATTATGATTTAATACGTCATAATTTCAAATTATGTCATAATTAAGTCTTAACTGACTTGGTATGTCATTTTTATCTCAATTATGAGATGAAAACTTGAAATCATTACATACCAAGTCAATTCTGACGGTAACAAATTTACAAAAAAAAAATTTTTTTTACACCATAATTTAGACTTGAAATTATGAATATCATAATTTAGATTTTTTTTTAATCTCATAAGTCTGACTTTCTCACAATTATGACTTGGTATGTCATAATTTTTACATTTTTCTCATAATAATGTCTCTTTATCTCATAATTTCGTCTGTTCATCTTATAAGTTTTACTTTCTCACATTTATGACATTTTCTCAATTTCAAATTTTTATGTCATAATTATGACATTTTATTTCGTAATTTTGAATATTTACTCTAATCATTTTCACTTTTTATGTCATAATTATGGCATTTAGCTATAGGTTTGGCTTTTTATTCACATAAGTTTGACTTTTTATCTCAATTTGGCTTTATAAATATCATAATTTAGATTTTATCTCATAATTTTGATTTAGTATGTCAAACTTTTTTCCTCATAATTTATAATTTTTGGTAACACTTTATTTCAAGGACCAATTCTCACTATTTACTAGTTGCTTATTAACATATTGGCTGTTAATTAGTAATTATAAAGCACATATCAATGCTTAATCTGCATACTTAATCCTACACCATACCTAAACCTACCAACTACCTTACTATTAATAAACATAAACAATTTAGGAGTTTATTTAGGGGAAACTAAAGTGTTACCAAACATTTTCACACAATTAAAATTTTTTTGTCATATTATAACATTTTAACCTTTTTTTTGTTGTTTTACGTCATAACTTTGACCTTTTTAAACTCTCATAATTTACATGTTTTATAATCTCAAATTAGAGATGCAAACCTGTAACTGTGAGAAATGAGTCAGAATTGTTTTTTTGTATTTAAGCTTCTATAGGTTTAAGTTGAATTGACTGTGAATTTGGTTCCAGTCATGACAGAGTCGCCTGATTACCTGCTGGACGGCAGTCCGCTCATCAGCGCCGCTCAGCTGGGCAAACTGCGCCTGGTTCGTCTGCTGGTGGAAGGAGGAGCGCAGGTCAACGAGAGGAACCAGCGAGGAGAGACGCCTCTGCTGGCCGCCTGCCGAGCTCTGCGGGGCGATCAGTCCGGATCCAGCATGCTCAGACTCATCCAGTATCTCCTCCGCAACCAGGCCGACCCGAGCATCCAGGACAAGACGGGCCACACGGCTCTGATGTACACCTGCATGGAGCGGGCCGGACCGGACGTGGCGGTCGCTCTGATCTCGGCGAGCTCCGATCGCTGTATGGAGGACTACGCCGGAGCCTCGGCCCTCGTTTATGCCATTAACGCCCGCGATCAGGACACGCTGACGGTGCTGCTGGACGCCTGCAGAGCCCGAGGACGGGATATAGCCACCGAGCTGAGCTGCGACGGACGCGGCGTGACGCCCCTCCGTCGCCCGACAGCTCGCCCGTCTCCTGCATGTCGCCCTCAGACATCGAGCTCAAGACCAGCTCTCCCAGTGTAACGGAGGCCAGCGAGTAGGTGCTGTGCAGGTAAACCTCACTCCCCTGATCTCAAGAGAGATCAGGGGACCTCCTTGTTAGTGCGTCCGCCTCCTATGCCGGAGACCCGGGTTCGAGACCCACTCGGAACGAGAACGAGGTGTGGCAGTGAGGACCCGGGAGAGAGGGGTTACACCAACTCTAAGTGCGAGAACATCTTTAACTTTCGAGGAGGCGGCAGTTTTCTATCGTCCGTCCGAGGCAGCGTTTGCGCTCGGAGCCTTGGCTGGCCATCCAAAACCTGCCGCGTCTCGGTCAAAACCCAGAGGAGGAGGAAAACGAAGCACCTGTCAGCTACATAAAATATTCCAAGTTTAAAGCTGAATGCAGGAACCAATCGGAGCGGCTGCAGAGCCGAAGAAACACGTTACCGGATCTTCTTCATCCGCCGGCCCTCAAACTCACGCTGTCCGGCTCCGACACTCACTTACACCAGGATCCCCGCGCTTCGAGGTTCCCTCTGCTCCTGGCGCCTCCCGACGGGCTTCACGACTTCCACGCGGCGAGCAGAAAGAAGGCAAGAGAGCAGTCGCGAGCTCCCGGTGTTTCCATGAGGAGCGTGTGCATAGATCCGATCCCAGCCTCAGTTCCTGTAAAACGGGAAGCTCACGGTCCGTCATGCGGTCCAGCTCGGACCGACGGGAAGCTCGGAGACGCTCTCTCTGTCGTGAAATGTCTTCTAATAAAACTGAGACCATGAAATATCATTAATACACTGTTTTAGAGAAATAAATAAGAAAAAAAAGACAGCATTTGATCAGATCGTTACGTTCAACTTCTCAGCTTTTGTTCATAAAAATAAATCCACTAAACAAATCGGACAATTAAATCACTTGAACCTGTAAAACACAAGTGTTAGGAGGAGAAATAAATAGGAAAATGTTGTTTTATTGCTGGTGGGATGTTATTAATAAAAACATGTTGCAGCTGAAAACAGTTTAATCAGATCTTTGTGTTCGACTTCTCAGCTTTTGCTCATAAAGCCACCAAACAACTCGGACAATTAAAAAAAATAATATTTATTTATTATATTATATTATATTAAAAATATTCATTGCTTATTGCTGGTTGTATAAAAAAAGCATTTTGCAGCTGAAAAAAGTTTAAATCCACCAAACAACTAATTAAATAACTGTAAAATACAGTTTTAGGAAGAAAAATATATAAGAAAAATATCTGACTTAATGCTGGTTGATTATTAAAAAAACAAAAAAAACATTTAGCCATTAAAAACAGTTTGATCAAATCAATTTCTCATCTTTTGTTCTTAACAATAAAGCCAATAAACAACTCGGACAGTTAAAAACCATTAACTTGAACCTGTAAAAAATGTTTTAGGAAGATAAATAAATAACTATTAATTATTAATAATAATTAATAGTTATTAAAACAAAAACAGAAACATTTTGCCACTGAAATCAGATCGTGTTCAACGTCTCTGCTTTTGTTCATAAAAATAAATGAGAAATTATATTATAAAATACTAATAACTTTGTATTCAAATGAATAATTAAATATATATCATGTATTTTTCTTACATTAAGACAGAGAGGTCAGCACAGACAAGTCAATCTGAATATATGAGTGTTTAATGAGAAACAAGGCATTCATGTGAATGTGGAATTACTGAAAGAACATTAAAATATAAACAGCACTAGAAATGACATAAGAAGTCAAATTCATCAATACAGGGCTGACATTAAAGAACATAGTATTCATATTGTTTATGAACCCTGGGTTAACAGCTTTAGTAAAACTTGGGCCACTTTTTATCCCTGGCTAAAGCAAAGTTTCTGCAATTTGAAACCGCTTTAAACACAATCAAACAGACAACCAATCAGAACTCGACAGCACTTACCTCATTAAATATTCATGACCTCTGTGTAGTCACAGAAACTGTGATGTGCATCTGATGGAAACCACTAAAACGGTGCAACTGTGTTAACTGGAGTAAAGAAGAGACGCTTCAGAAGAACCAAATGGACGAGCAGTTATTAAAACAAGCTCATTGCATCATGCTATTAGCCTCATAAATATAAAAATATGCATATTCACTCAGGGCTTACCAATCAAATCCTGAAGACCCAGGGTTAATTCAGACCAGAAACGTGGTACAAGGATTGCGTGAACACATTTGGTCAACAATTTCAAGTGTGAAAATCCCATTATAGTGATAAAAAAACATATAAACAATTACATTCAACAGATTTCAGCATCAGGCCCATTTCACATGCATGTAAGCAATTAAATATTATATAATAGATCTGTAAGATTTGTAATGTGTTTTAAAGAAATCTCTTCTGCTCACCTAAGCTGCATTTATTTGATCAGAAATACAGTAAAAATTGTGAAATATTATTACAATTCAAAATAACGTTTTTCTATGTGAATATCTGTTAAACTGTAATTTATTTCTGTGATCAAAGCTGTATTTTCAGCATCTTTACTCCAGTCTTCAGTGTCACAGAAACCATTAAATTCTGGTTTATTACAGTTGTGCTCCAAATATTTTTTTTTGGACCCTGTGATACTTTTTTCAGGATTCTTTGATGAATAAAAAGTTAAAAATAACAGCATTTATTCAAAATAGAAATATTTTGTAACAATGATATACACTACTGTTCAAAAGTTAGGGGTCAGTAATTTTTTTCTTTTTTTTTTTAAAGAAATTAATGCTTTTATTCAGCAAGGATGTGTTAAATTGATACAAAGTGCTAATAAAGATTTATATTGTTAGAAAATATTTATATTTTAAATAAATGCTGTTAACTTTATTCATCAAAGAATCCTGGAAAAAGTATCACAGGTTTCAAAAAATATTAAACATTGATAATAAATCAGCATATTAGAATGATTTCTGAAGATCATGTGACACTGAAGACTGGAGTAATGATGCTGAAAATACAGCTGCGCATCACAGAAATAAATTACATTTTAA